CTGCGGGACATTACACGCCCACCAGTGGTGGGTTTCAAAAACTTTTGGAATCTCTTCTGTAGGTGTGGTCTGCTTTCTGAGACCACTGGTGGAAACTCTTCTAACTGGTTCGGTAGATTTGACGAACCGGTTCTATCGAATAGGTGCGAACTGGTAGGAACCCACCTCTGGTGTGGATGGAATCAGATGGATGAGGAAACCATATTTTTGAGTTATAATATGTCCTATGTATCGGTCTCAAAAGTGCTTTTCAAAAGGCAATTGGACTTGCTTGGGTTTTTTCCCCCCTCGAAGATGTTTTACTTCTCATCCTGAAGAAATGAAGAAGCTTCTTGAATGAGAAGCAAATCTGTCTTTAAGGGAAAAAGTCCAGTTGCCTTGTGAAAAGCACCTTTGACCTGGCTGATTGAGAATCTCCGTAAATTCTCTCTATATTGGGTAGAATTCATTTTCTCTTTCTTTGCAAGTATCCTGCCAAGGCAGGTTTAGGAGTGGAGACATGCCCTGCTCCTATGGCAGATGTATAGTATATCTCTTCCCTCTCCCCAAGTCTCTGGCCACATATTTTTCAAGGTCCATTTGTTTTTCAGTAGCTGGAGAGTCTTTCACTGTACAAAAAAAAAGTCAATTCTTCCATTTTTCTTGCTATCAGATCCCAGGCTCCAGGATTCGGAGGAATAGCAAGAGAAATGTGTGTGGGGGTGCCTTTTTACCTGCCCCACCAAAGTGAAATGTTCACTCGGTGCTTGATAGGTGCTGTTGAATGGGCCTGCTTTTTAATGTTACATAAGGCTGCTGGATACGTGTTAAAAATTCACCCCTGTGGACAAAGAACTGCAGTGCCTAATTCACAGAAGGAATTGAACTGCGTGGGAGATGCCATAGCTATAAAGAACTATATATCCCCCATGGGAAGGAAACAGTCTTTCAACCAAGTCGCTTCTGCATTACTTCCTGCTTTCTTTCCCATAAGGACAACAGCTCTTCAACCACGCAGTCCACCTGGTTAACCACTGCCTTCCTACCCCTCTCCCATGGATTAGGTTCTTCAGGGTACAAACCATCCTGCTCCCTTATCGTAGGGACGCATCTAAATTATGCGGTGATGGGGGTGGGTGGGAACGGAGAGGCGATTGCTTCATTTCAAGTGAACAAGCCTCTTTTCCCTGCTTTACTTCCCTAAAGCTTATCTGGATGTATCTTCTTTTTTCTTAACTATTATTATTGCTGCATTTGGGTGAGCCGAACGTCAACAAAAGCATTCTGTTCTGACTCTAGCAATAGAGGTTGGCTAACAATCTATGTCTATATTTGTGCTCTTTGCCTTAATTTTTTTCTGCTCAGGAATTGTCAAGAGCATTTCTCCACTGTATATGCAGGCAGCGATAAACAGGCCTGTGAGTGAGATTATTTGTTATCCTGGCTGTAAATCAGCATGAATGAAAGCTTAGGGGAAACAATGGAACAGGCAGCCAATTATATAGCTTGCTCCCCTTTAATCTTCAAAACAATCCCACGTAACTATTTGAAATGTTCATTTCTCTTCCATCCAACCATTTCTTGATTTAGGGAGCACTCTAATCCAGCTATCTCCTGTTGGAAGTCATAACCTCTCTGTTGCGTTTTGAGTTGCTCAAAAAAAAATCTAGTGTGAAACATTTTGGGCACTTTATTACTATTATTAGTAAATGTCATTTTTGAATACCCCACAGCCATATTTGCTTACCATGTTTTTTCACAGTAACTCCAGGATATGGAAATAACTTCTTCACCGACAATTCCTGTAACCAGCGAACTGTTGATTTGCATAGACCAACAATTTCCACAGCAGAACCATCTCTAATAAAAACAGCCACAGCAGAAAAGTAAGTTGCACTTCCATTACCAAATGAAATTTTTGGTTACTATATTTAGTGGCCATACCAAGAGCACACAACTCTGATTTACATGTATACATGTATATTATGGAAGAGGGCAGGGTGAATGTGCTAAGATAATGATTTTTGAAACTATTTTGATATTGATAAGAAATGCACCAGACAATTCAGAGAGATAGTAATTGGCTAGTGATACCAAGAGTTAAATTTGGATCTCAGGATTTTAGACTCCTTTGAATGTACATGAATAATTTATGGAACAGTTGTGGATTCATGTAAATTTAATGTCACAAACATGGCTTCTCTTTTAGATGTTTTTCAGACTTGTACGAGATTGACCATGTTAGGTTAAACCAATCATCTCAAGGGCTACAAGCTCTGTTGCACAATATGTTGAAAGATTCACTCCAAAACTGGACAGGGAATGAACTCAAATTTGGCGGGACAATTTATTTAACATATATCTGCACTCGCGCATGTATAACCTTTAATAATTTATTATTTTCACACACCCATAGGATAGATTGTTTCTCTCATCATATATACATACATTCTTCTTTACCTCTATAGCAAAGCAAACCAACAGGAACTATGGGCAATGGGGTTTTTATTTTAGTCTATGATTGCAAAAAAAAAAAAAGGAAGTGACTTTGCACTCTGATATTGTGGTTTTCTCTTCGAATAACCAGAAGGATGTTTTCTTCCTGATTCCCCTCCAAAAAGAGGAAACAGTGGAGCTATTTTCATTAGCAGAAGGAGCTATCTGTGCCACAGTCCTCCCCCCCCAGCCCGCTTTGGAATGAAGGAGAACAGATAGAGAGTGCAGACAAGATAGGAAGGATCAGGCAGAGATGGGGAAGAAACTGAAAAAAAAAGTGAGAGGAATACTAAGACCAGGGTTCGAAAAGCAGAAACTCACGAAATAAAAACAGGCTGAATTTGCACTCCTGTCCTAACCCATGGTTTAGGGTTAGGTCATTTGGAAATCAGGCCATAGCAAGTCCAGTCATCCTTCCTTTGAATCAGAACTGGATTGCATATTCAATTCATGTGGAAATCTAGTGTTAATATGTCAAAAATCTCCAATTGGGTAATTCATAGATGCTCGTTTCAAACGAGGCCAATCTTGCCATTTAACTCAGCAAAACACAGATAAAATTTAAAGCTGCTGCTGCTAGATTTAATGTTTAATGCAAACAGAATGGTTTAAAATGATTTTTCATGAAGAACTTCTGTATTTTAAATCCAGACGATTTCAAGCAAAATTCCTGCCTAGAAATGCCTGCATGTTTATAACTCTTTGCATACATTTTATATGCACATCTATCTAAACTGAACATGAATATCCTTGAGGCAATGGACAGTTTTTCCATGTGTTTAATTTAGCCAGTTTATTTTTCCATTGAACCAGCATTTTCCACTGAAAACAGTTTTTTTTTAATTAAAAAAACTAGCTTGCAGCAATTGAACAATAATTGGACTCTGAATGCTCCAGACAAACACTGCTTTAAGGAAGAATTTGATATCAACTATAGTAACACTGAAGTCCTGATCCTTGGAAATCACCTAAATTCCACACATGGAAGATAAATAGCAAGAGTGTTGAACAAGTGCAATCTTTTAAATATTTGGACATGGTTTTCCATAGCCCCATCAAACACAGTGCACACCAAAATTATGTCATACAAAATGCTCAAAAACTGGCCAACTCTTTTCACTTTACCAGAGAAGCACAATATATCCCAGCAGCACTGAAGGTATTATTCAGCTAAGAGCTGTGCAAAACTATGTTTTGGGTCCAGCTAGGACTTTTCAAGAGCCGTGGTTAGAATGCAGTACTATAAGCTACTCCTGCCGGCTGCCAACAGTTCGGTAGTTCGATTCTCACCAGGCTCAAGACTGACTCACCCTACCATCCTTCTGAGGTTGGTAAAATGAGGACCCAGATTGTTGAGGGCAACATGCTGACTGTGTAAACCGCTTAGAGAGGGCTGTAAAGCACGGTGGAGCAGTATATAAGTCCCAGTGCTGTTGCCATTTTCTGTACTCCTCTTGAAAAGATTCAACCTAAATTCCTAATGGCTATATTCCAGATAGCCCTTTACTTTCAAAAATGTAATATTATGGAAGAAGGAGGCAGGGCTATCTCAAGTCAAAATAGGCGCATGGACCTGTATCATACCAAGCCGGTTGAAGTTACTGTTCTTTCCCACAGGTCTGAGTTCCTTATTGTGAACAATTACAAGTCAATATGGTTCAGGACAACTTTACAAAAACCTCAACTTCTCAACTTTTGCAGGGATGCGTTCCTCATGATGGGTTATAAGCATGCACTAAGCACATTTAAACAATGTATCAAAAATGTGAAAGTCCAACAGGACCAGGTTTTTTTTAAAATTTAAGTATGTTTTTCACAGAAGTCAATCCCTTTTGATTTGATTTGATTTGATTTGATTTGATTTGATTGTATTTATATGCTGCCCTTTTCCCCCGAAGGGGACTCAGGGCGGCTCACAATTCAAATCAGGGAAGGGGGGTACAGACAAAAAATAAAAACGAAACATAACAATGCACAATTTAAAAACACACAACAGTCATACCATTCGAGACGGGGGCAACAGCTCTTTAGCCCCAGGCCTGTCGGAACAGCCAGGTTTTTAAGGGCTTTGCGGAAGGCCTGGAGGGTGGTGAGGCTGGTTTTACACAAACCAGTGAGATACTTAACACCACATAACTATTTCCAAATTCTGAAGAGCATTAACTTTAGCACACTTCAGTGCTCTCCACAGAGCAATTTTTGAGGGATGATACAAAAGAATTCCTTATGAGCTGATACTTTGCCACCGTGGATAAGGGCCGATTGAAACTACAGTTTGTGTCCTGCTGTACTGTACCTTCTATAAGGGCTCAAGGATCTTACTTATAGCTCCTTGCTTGGTAAATTCGGTTCTTTTTTTATATATAGTTGTTATCAGATCGCTATGATTCAGCCTCCTTGAAGACAGCTAAAATTTGTAACGCTTGTAATACCTGTGCTTCCTGCTCCCCGCTGCCCATCTTTTAATTCATACTGTTGCAATTTCATTGTTTACTTTTATTGTTTCATTGCTTTACTATTGTTGTATTTATATTTTTATCCCCCCTTTTTTTGACTGTTGTAAGTCAGCCAGAGTAGCTC